CAATAAATAAAAAAAATTCTATTATAATATTCTTATAGCATTCTTAAATTTTAAGAAATAAAAATAGTAATTATTTTATTCAATAAAGTGATACTAGGTAATAAATTTAAACTTCATTTCGTTTAATTGCTTCCACAAAATAATACAAACGATAACTTACATATAAATAAACAAAATAAAATTGCAACACTGAGCTTGGTTTTAACTTCCTAAAAAAATCTCGCAAAGCTCAACTCCAACTTGATCGATTGCTACTCTGTCTCACTAATTCTTAAAATTGATCTTCAGAAAAGAGCACTTCATCGCTTTTGTGGATGCACGGCTCGTGCGACTTGTTTTGTGAAGCTCTAATTAAGATGAAACGGTACTGCTCTCAACACGCATGCTTCTTTATTCACACAAACTTATCGCAAGCTTGCTAGACTGTATTTTTTCGCCTCCGCTCTCTTTTATGAATTTATAGTGCTTGATCACTGCTTATGTGCTTTCAAGAGCATAGAAAGATCGCAACCTAGGCAAATACCGTGCTGCCACTCATGATTGATCAACTTGCTGAAACTCTCCTGCATTGTTCGTGTTCAATCACACTACACTTTGCTTCCTGCTTCACTTCGCAAGGCTTCAACGCTTACGCCTCGTCTCGCTTCTCATGGCTTTGATGCTCTCGAGCTCGATAGCTAGCGTCACTGCTTCTGCATAGAGAAGTCACCTTGTCTGATCTCTGCCTTGTCATCGTCCTTCATCGCTCGCTCTACTCTTTGTCCTTTCCCTGTGTCGCTTATCGGGAAGGCAAAACCATTCAACCTCACGAAAAGCTTCGTTCCTCCTTAAATAATGAATAGATAAAGTGAGGTTCACTCTTTCTCTTCGTCTCCCTCTCATTCAATTATTCAGTTATGATTCCTGAGAGTGGAAATCATATGAATCGTTTGTTTTCTTCTTCTTAAAAATGATGTGTTACACGCGATCGCTAAGAGCTCGACTCTTCGTTTACCCCGCAAAATTTGCTCGCGCACTCCTTTGCTCATTCTCTCAACGTCCTAGCTCCTTCGCTCATGCGCTTGTGAGACACACGTGTGACGTCCCTGTGTTGTCTTCCTTCCTCGAGCACCGTTTGATCATTTGCTTGATCTGGCGTAGATGACTCTGTCTTCGTTCTCACTGCTTTGCTTCTCAGGAAGCGAAAATTGTTTGGCTTTGAAAGGGGGGTTTGGTTCCTCACTAGACGAGTTCGCCTCCTTATATCGACGAAATGCTTGTCCTTAAATTCCTAGCTTCTTCTTTGTCATGATGAACTAGCTCTGGCCCTTGATGCGGGACGTTGCATCTCTTCTCCCATCAAAACGGCTAATCTTTGTAATTTTCAACTTAAATAGTAAAACTATCTTAATTGGATTGGGTCTCGTGATTTAACCATTCTCAATTTCACATAAAAAATCTATCTGTTTGCTATATCTGTGTGAGGGGGATTTTCAAGCAACATTATGCTGAAAAACTATTTCTACTAAGAAAATATTCAACAAAATTTTTTTTTCTTTATTTTATGCTAAGCTTCAAACTAACTCGTACAAATCAAATTTTGCAAGATTTGGAATATTTTTTCTGATATGAACTGCGTCCATAACCACCAGTTATCATTGTATTTCGAATTGATTATTTTTTAGAATTGCACTGAAAACTAAAATACAATTCACAGTTACAAGACATCTGAAACTTCGCCACTTGCAGCATTTTGTAGTTGCAAGGATGCTAGGACAAAATGAACAAAAGCACCCACTATTGATGCACAAAACCAAATAATGTTTTTGGGATGTACGCCCTCCCGAATGTGACCAATGAAAATTTTAACATTTTTTCCCACCAATGCGCCAAATATTTATCGCAAATATCATAAAATTGTTATTTTAAGTACTTGTTGAGCATGCATGTCCTATAGGAATTTGTTTATAGGATTAATGATTCATCATCATTCTTTTTTTAGAAAATGTTTTTGATAATGTTTCCCCACTTTTGCCTTTTTCTCCCGCTATGGGCTCTTCCAGTTGGACAGTTTCTCAGATACATGCATCAAGAAAGTGCTGCTGAGATCAAGAGAAAGAACTTTCTTATTATTTTACTATATTATAAACTACATAAATCCATAAACTTCATGAGAGTTACAAATGTGATGGATACCACAATATTGAGGTCAGCCATTCTTGTTATGGAAGGTAGATTTATAATCTTATTTAAATGACCTAAAATTACTTTAATAGAGGGGATCCCCCGTGTCTTTATGGGTTGTCAATGTTAATTACGTCGACTCTATTTATCTTCTCTCTTAGAATAGTGTAACCCATCATGGAATGGTAAAGATACATGGGAATAGTAATCCAAGACGGCATTTATGAGTGGTATAAGATACGGTAAGATGGAATGATGGTTAAGATATCTGATCTGATCATAGTTGGGATTTTCATATATGCAACATAATTTTGATGTATATACATGTCCAACTCTTGAATTCGATGTTTTTTGTTAACAAATTAGTCTTCTTGGTACTTTTTTTATGTGAAGCTAAAGATTTGGGTTATTTAAGTAAATATTAAAATTGAGGTGTTACATGTGTAAATACATAAGAATTATGTGATATGTATGAGATCTCCCTAAAATTAAACAGGATAGAAAATGACCAATTTCATATGTTGATGAATGATACCTTTCTAGAAACACTGTTCAGCACGAAGGGGCGGTTCGGTAAAATTATGAAGAAAAAAAAAGTTCCACCAAATGGCATTCCAGTTATATAATAGCATTTAGCATTGTATTTTAGGAAACATTTAATTTGTGGGCCATGACATTAGTCCCTTCTCTTTATCAGACATTAATGATAATGCTAACCTATGTAGCACTGACACTTCTAAACATATGCCATACCTATGTTGAATATATATCAGGCATCGACACTTGTCCTACACACCCCGACACTTGTCCTGCACACCTCGACACTTCTTGGACGCTTCACTACTACAAAATATTTGTTTGAATTTTTTTCAGGCCTGAACTTGTTCGAGATACACCTCAACACTACATCGGTCGCGAGCTTAACACGATTTCGAGAAAATGGAACATGAAAATTTGAAAATTGTAAATATACGTATAGCTAGTCAAAATTGCCCTATCTTTCATCATGTTCAAACTCCTCTCACATTCGTCAAGATCGAGCATCAAATGTGTATCTAATATTCGTTGAAGCCGAGCATTAGTAATTCTCTCTTTGTAATCATGAGATTTTTTACATTTTTGGTAGATAAGTTGTACTACAAGTTAGATGGATTGTTTTGAAATATATTATATCTAATTTTCAAAATTAATTTTAATAAACATAAGAGTTTTGTAATATAAATTAAATTTATGAAGTTAAATGTTATTCTTTCATAATTTGTATTGTGATATTTTAAAATATAAAAATTATATTTCATAGTTATAATTAATTAAATACAAAAACATGTCCATGACGTATCTTGTTCTGTATATAATTATCTTACATGTCGTGTCTCTGTCCTAGTGTTCATATCCGTGCTTCATAGATGCTAACAATTTATTTAATGCGTATTATAGTTTGTTTACTTATTGAAATAAACCATTTAAGCTGCAGAAACATTTGTGGTACTTTAATCGCATGCTCTTTCGAGCCACAAATCTTGCCCTTCTTTTCTTGTTTTGATATGTATATATATATATATATAAAAGAAAGTCGGTATTTGGCAGAGGCCCAAATACCGATTTCCTATACGCTAGACCCCATGAAAATATATATATATAGTCTTTATCATTCTGTAATTTAAAATGTCAAGTTTGAGCGTAAAATGTGCACAAAATAATTTAAAATTATATAGAGAAGTCACATCCAATTTATGGGAGATTTTTGAGTTAAGTTAAGGAGAACAATGTAAATAAATATAATAGAAGGATTAATTGAGCTAATCAAGAAACTACAGCGGCTCTCCAAATGAAAACGACATAATTGCTTTTAGCTACATTATCGGTGCTGGTAGTTCGCTGGTCTAAACCAGCACTCAGTTGCTACTTGTTTTTTCCATATTTTTTTGTGAGTGGTATTGGAAACCCGTGGCTTGCCCATGGATTTCCTCGCAGTGTATTTCCTGCCTTCAGTAATTATATTATGCAACCTGTCCATTTAAAATGACATCGCGTTGCAATTATTCGGCCATGAAAATTGTTATCCAGTCTCACCCATCCATCATATA